GAACTCGCTCTACTCCTCTCAATAGGCTACTGCAGAGCAGGATGCCCACTGCAAGCAGGTTCCAAGGACTCAGTTCAGGTAAGTCTTTCATTTAATAGCTCAGATCCACCATAACCCAGCATGCAAATTCTCCAAGAAGGGGTAAAGCATGAGGCAAATGCAGATCTGCCACACAACCACACACTCCAAGGAAGGCTCTTTGGTGCAGCTCACTTGCCAACCACAAGCCAAACGGTGAGCTCTTGCTTAGCTTTTCAGGTACACATCCACTGCCAGAACATTCCAGCAGCAAGAACCTCAGGACACAGAGCAATTACTCCCACCAGAAACATCTCCTCCATAACAAGAGCCAACCATCACAAAACCCAGCAACTCCACGAAGGTAACACCACTGCTTTGTCACTGAAACAAAATCCCTCAACCAGCAACACATGCCCCCAGAGAAAAGCAGAAGTATTCCTCCTCTACATGTCTTTCCTGCCACCTGCTCACACTGAGCTGGAAAGCAATAGGAAAGGAACGAGATCAAGCAACAGGACTCTGCTGCTCCACACCTAAAGACATTACCCAGGCTACTTTCCGTCCATCCAACATAAACATATTGCAGTTAAATAGCAGGAACTCATGCATTGCCCTCTTGAACACATCTTCTCGGAGTACGAGCCACTTACCTGTAAGATCAGTGCTTACTTGTTTAGAAAAAGAAGCATTTCCATGAGAAGAGAACGGCCTATAAAGCACAATTTCTTTAAAAGTTATCACAGATTTCTGGGGAGGCTGGATGGAAAAATTTCCTTCAGCTATGTGACACCTTGGAAGTCATTGGACACCATGCACTGCTTCCAATACACACGCTCATTTTTGGAATGAGCCGTATTACAAGAGATGCACCATCTCGACCAAGGCCAACTATGCAAGTGCACAGACTCAGGGGGCAAGTCGAGTGCACAAAGATTACACCCACCCCATCATGTCTCCTTAGAAATTGCCTCTATTCCTGAAGTCAGATAGACACCAGGGGAAAGAACTCTTGCCACTGGGAGAAACTGTTCTCCCCATTGGTACCCATGTATTCACCAGAAGGATCCAAGACTACAGGCATTCCCCAGGCAATGTTCAGTCCATCCAACCAAATGAGAACGCAACTGAAAAGCAGAAAATATGTACTTTTATCTCTCAAAAACATATTCTTTGCAGGTGAATGGGTGACCTGCAGCATCAGTGATTACTTCCTCAGGAAAACGAACAGATTATAGGATGGGGAACTGGTTTAAAAGAGAAATTCTCATTTAAAGTTGTAAGTGTATTTCTAGGGAAGCTGGGCTGAACAGAAATAAACAAGGAAGCTTTCATGCAGGAGAGAAGAAAACCAAAGGATCTCATTCCAACTCATCAAAACAAAACCTTCGACAACATCATAAACATGGAGGGAACTTCTTCCCCTCCTCCCCACTTCTTGGCAAAGGCCACACTCCAGCTTCCACCCAGCATCACCATTTCACACGCACAAGGCTCATTTCTCACTCAACACCATCCTGCCCATTGCCAAATGCCCGCCCACATTCCATGACGCTTCCAAACTTACTGCCACAACACCTAGACGATGCTCCACCCCAACAATACAATCAAGCTCCAAATCCAACTGTGAGCATCACAATCGCCTTCTCCCACCACTGCCAGGATCTTCCCCTCTGTGCAAATGACACTCACAACGATTAACACTGGCTCAGTAATCTCACATGGAAATGGTGAAAGCAGGCCTGATGGACATTTACACAGCTTCTGCTGGAGCAGCCACTCCTCATGCTCAGGAACACAGGAGTCAAAGGCCATCTGACAGACTGCTGAAAAAGCTGGCCTATGGTACAGAACAGTGAGATGAAGGAAAACCAAGTGGACAGACAAAAATAAAACTCTGTGTAGAACCTGGCGAGGCCCTGGAACATCAGGCCAGGGATTGACACAAATTGCCTTACTTGGAGACAGACAGACCTTCACAGGATGAGGACCTCACCAGCCTCATCTAACTGCAGTCTTCTTCCCGCTCTCAGCAAGGAAACCACGGACGTCCACGTGTCACCTTCAGCACAAGGTACCTTAAGATCCTATCACATGGGAAGCAAGAGGCAGACCTGAAAGCCAATGGCATTCTCTCAACGACAACCTCCACTCTCAACAGTGCAGAAGCCAGCACCCACACTCCCAGCCAACTGTCCAAGTGTCTCTTCTCTGGCAGCAGCCACAACTCAGCAGACTACATCTCACCCACTATTACCAACAGATTTTCAATATGAGAGAAGAAAAACAGCAGAGTGGGGAGTGGGACATTTTCATTACAGGAGAGAAGAAAACCAAAGGATCCCATCCCATTTCATTGGACCACAAGGTCTGGACAACACTGAGAATACAAACAGCACTTCTTCCTGTCCCTCCCAAAAATATGAGCAGAGGGAATATCTTGGGGAACTTCCGACAAATCGGGAAGAATTGTCAGTCGTGGGAAAAGGTCCTGCCTGAGCAACAATACTCCACATTCAGGCAGACATGATTAGGCACCTATGGCAGATGTCTTCACAAGCAGGAATGCCACAAGAACAACGGGGAGTGAGGACATGCAGAACTTGACTGCACAGGGCCCTCAGGAAGCTCATCGTTCTTCACACATGGCCTTGACATCCCCATTTGCTTCCTTTGAGGCCCCCCAGGTCCCATCCTACATAAACCACTTGCCATGCTCTCAGCTTACTCGAGCTTCATCCATATGCAAGAAGGGGATCCCCGGAGAAAACATCAGGCAAAGCCTCCAAACACACAAGAGCAAGTCAGTTGTGTGGCAGCATGAATAACACACTGCCTCTCATCCTCAGAAAGAGATCACAGATGAATTTCTGGGAATTCGGAGAGGCGCCTTGCTGAGGAGCACAGTGTGCCATGTGCTGTTCTCCATGTCGTCTAATGGCATATTCTGTCCTGCACCCTGGGAAATCAGATCTCCAGGAGAGTATTTCCAAACCAGGAGCTGAGGAGCTCTTAGATTCACGCCAGCACAGATAGAAAGCTTCAAAAAACATCATTAGGGTATTACCACTCCACCCACCAAATAACAAACAAACGAACATTAAAATCATTTTAAGTCAAAAGGTTTCAAGTATGAACTGAATGAGAAAGAATAATGCCTACAGGACCACCACCACTTTTCATATCATCCACTCCTTCAGCAATCTCAGGTGGAAATGCTGTACACCAGTAAGAAACAGGATTTCGGGAGCCCATGTTGTGAAAGCACTAAGCACGATCGGCACTGATTTTATTCTACCAGAAAAAAAAAAATATCAAACACTGAACAGCTAGCCTCCATAAGAAGTTCCAAACCAGGAACTGATGGGATCAACATATTTGCAACAGTTAAAAAAACATCATAAGGGGATTACACACAACAATTCCATAAAAAGGAATAGCAGTGCAGTGGAAGTAGAATGAGTAGAACACCAAAAGTGTTCTCCCATCTCCCATTCCATTACAAGACTTGTGTGAAAAGTAGGAAGACTCCAACACTGCTGTCTCATGAGCATCAGACAACCCACCAACTGCACCCAGCTGCAATGAGCATGAGCTGGGCACAAGGAAAACATCCTATCACATTTACCAGCACTCCCAGGACACAGGACAGGCCGGTCACCACAGAATGCATATAACTGGCACAGTCAGATCCTCTGAAGCTGTCCTCTAACAAAACACTTTGCCGGATGCAAAAAAACAGTTCTCTGTTGCTTTGTTTGTTGCTCTGTCCTCCTGCTCTGCTCTTCTACCTCTCTATTGCAAACTACACAAAAAGCATGCTCAAAATGGGATAAATATTATATGATTTTTGCTGCATCTTCCCCTTTTAACAATGACTTTCTGGCAGTAAACAGAGTGGAAAAGTTAATCTATCTTCAAGGAGCATAACAAAAGACGGGAAACTGGCATGCCTTGCCGAGAGCAGAGGCATAGTGATCACGAGCAACTGCAGCTCTACACAGAAGCTAAGCAACAGCAGGATAGGGAAGGAGTCAAACTCACTTCCTCTGATATATTTTCACCTGCACAAGACAAGGCCCCCTGCAACATCATCTAACTCAACTTCAGCCCTCCACCCAACGACAACAAATCCCTTTTTCAAGGGAAATCACCCACTCCACTTCCTGGTCCACTTCTCTGCAATGAGTCATTTTTTACCATCTTGCTCAACACAACCCAGAGGAGAGAGAGGGATTCACAACTGGTGCAGTGAAAATTCTCACAAGGAATATACCTCAAATGATATTCTGGACATTTCAATACCACATACAATTCTCAACATATGCAAGACCTTCAAATCGTGTTTCTTGGAGCCTGGCAAATGGTCCTAACCAGGAACACTCTGAGACCATTTTGCCTCAGCATTCACTTTAGGCACCCTTGATCCCCCATTCTCGAATGTGTGTTTTCAACACAAGTAGACACCTCTTCTTCTACTCTTATGGCATGCAATGCAGACTACTGATTTCCTTTTCCTTAGGCAGTGCGACTTCCCCCCAAAGGTCACGGTTCACTTCAGAATAAGGCCAGGTCCCATTCAGTGCCACTGCCACATTCACCTCCACCAGGTGACACACTTTCTCTTCCCATCGCAATGCTCACTCCATATCCTGCATGGATAGAGGACTTCACAGCATCACTTATTCGAAAACATGAGGCCAAGACTGTTCTGCTTTTCCAGCTACACAAGGTGTTTCCTAAATGGCCCTGAAGAAAACAACGTAACAACAGTAGGCCCAACAGTCAGCTACTTAAAGGGCTTTCAATAGTGCCTGCTGCACAGTCGCAACCAGACCATGTCTTCCTGGACTGCAGTCCTTCTGCAGAAACAGTAACATTCAGACATGTTACACACCAGTAACCAACAGGATTGGCAGAGACCATGTTGTGATGAAAATCCTTGTAAAATTACTTCCACATCCACATCGTTTCAATGACCTACGTACCGTGAAATATCATCGGAAAACAAAACACAAGAAATGGGAAAAAAATAAAAAAAACAAGGGGCAACCTACCGTGCCCGAAGAGTATGGGGAGAGCGAAGGTCCCTTCTCGGCAGAAGCGTTTTCTGCCGCGGGGCCGGGCGGCGGCGGGCAGTTGGGGCTGAAAACCATCAGGTCGCTCTTGCCCGCGCCGTCCGCCACGCACAGGCTCCGGCTCTGGCGCTGCGAGTACGACCAGCTGCCCACCTCGCTGGCGCACACCAGCGTGGCCGGCCCGGGCCCCGCCAGCACGGCCGCCCGCGGCGCCCAGCGCGACGCCCCGTACAGCACCACCGCCAGCAGGAACAGGCTCGACACCGCGCAGATGGCCACCACCAGCCACACGTTCGTCGCCGCCGCCGCCGCCGCCGCCGCGCCGCCCTCCGCGCCCGCCGCCGGCCGCACACCCGCCCCCGACGACGACGCCCCCGCCGCCGCCGCCGACAGCGCCGCCTCGGCGCCCTCCACCAGCGACACGCTCAGCGTGGCCGTGGCCGAGCGCGACGGCTCCCCGTGGTCCCGCACCACGATCAGCAGCCTCTGCCGCGGGCCGTCCGCCTCCTCCAGCGCCCGCGCCGTGCTCACCTCGCCGCTGTACAGCCCCACGCGGAACGGGCCCTTGCCCCGCGGCTCCCACAGCTCGTAGCGCAGCCACGCGTTGTAGCCCGAGTCCGCGTCCACCGCGCGGATCTTCGCCACCACCTGCCCCGCCGGCGCCCCCCACGCCGCCCACGCCCACAGCGACCCCGGCGCCGACGCCGACGCCGACGCCTCGCCCGCAGCCCAGGGCCCCGGCCCGCCGCCGGCAGGCGGCAGCAGCGCCGGCGCGTTGTCGTTCTCGTCCACCACGAACAGCTGCACCGTGGCGTTGCCGCACAGCGGCGGCTCGCCCGCGTCCACCGCACGCACCTCGAACTGCAGCACCTGCAGCTCCTCGTAGTCCAGGGGCCGCAGCGCCCACAGACGCCCGCTCTCCGCGTCCACCGACACGTAGCTCGACGCCGGACGCCACCCCGACCCCGACCCCGCGCCCGACCCCGCGCCGCCCTCCGCCACCGAGTAGCTCACGCGCCCGTTGCCCGCCTCGTCCGGGTCCCGCGCCCACAGCCGCGCCAGCTCCGCGCCCGCCGCGTTGTTCTCCCGCGCCAGCACCGTGTACACGGCCTGCGCGAACGCCGGCGCGTTGTCGTTCACGTCCGACACCGGCACCCGCAGCCCGCGGCTGGCGCGCAGCGGCGGCGCCCCGCCGTCCTCCGCCCGCACCTCCACCTCGTACTCCGACACCCGCTCCCGGTCCAGCGCCTCCCGCAGCACCAGCGAGTACGAGCCCGCGAACGTCGCCACCAGCCCGAACGGCGCCGGCGGCCACACCGCGCAGCGCACCTGCCCGTTCGCCCCCGAGTCCCGGTCCGACACGCTCAGCAGCGCCACCACCGTCCCCACCGACGCGTCCTCGGGCACCGGCACCGACAGCGACGTCACCCACACCTCGGGCGCGTTGTCGTTCACGTCCAGCACCTCCACCACCACCTTGCAGTGACCCGACAGCGGGGGCGTCCCTTTGTCTTGCGCCTTCACCTGTAGCTCATATAAAGACACTGTCTCAAAATCCATCGAACCCGTCAGTCGGATTTCTCCGCTCTTTGCATCGATGCTAAAAATGCCAGAGGCAGACGAAGGATTAGAGTTAGCAATCTGGTACATGAGTTCCTGATTAATTCCTTCGTCCGGGTCGGTGGCACCCACTCGGGCCACAAGCGTCCCTTCTGAGGCGTCTTCAGACAAACGCGCGTTATACACTGACTGGTTGAACTTAGGCGTGTTGTCGTTCACATCCAGCACCGACACCACCAGCTCCGCCGTGCCCGTCAAAGCCGGCCTGCCCCCATCAATCGCCGTCAGCACCAGACGGTGCTCGGCCAACGACTCGCGGTCCAGACCTTTCCTCAATACAAGAAAAAGGGATTTGCTGCGCGAGTCACTATTTTCTTCCTCTATTCCGAAGTGCTCGCTGGGGCTGAGGGTATAGGAGAGCTGCGCGTTGGCTCCGATATCCGCATCCGACGCGCCCTCCAGCGGGAAACGGGAATCGGGAGGCGAGTTCTCCGATAAACTGAGGTTTACCAGAGCGGCGGGGAAGAGCGGCGCATTGTCGTTGATGTCGGTGACCTCCACCTCCACGTGGAAGACGCGCAGCGGCCGCTCCAGCAGCACCTCCAGGCGCAGGGCGCAGGGCGCGCTCTTCCCGCACAGCTCCTCCCGGTCCAGCCGCGAGCTCACCACCAGCGCCCCGCTCGCCCCGCTCACCTCCACGCTCGCCCGCCGGCCCTGCGCCACCAGCCGCAGCCGCCGCGCCTCCGCCTCGCCCGCCTCCAGGCCCAGGTCCTGCGCCAGCCGCCCCACCACCGTGCCGCCCTTGGCTTCCTCCGGCACCGAGTAGCGCACCTGCCCGCCGCCCAGCGCCCAGGCCGCCTGCAGCACCAGCACCCGCACCACGGCCCGCACGCACACCACCATGGCCGCCGCCGCCGCCCGCGCCCCGCACGGCTCCCAACGCCGCCGCCGCCGCTCTCCTGCCCGCCCCGCGCCGCTCCCCCCGCGCGCACAGCCGCCCTTCCCGCCGCCCCGGGGCGGAGCCGCCCTCCCGCCGCTCCCGCGCCGTTCCTGAGCCTGCAGCGACACCGTGTGCTCCGACGCCTCACTCGCGCCCGCCGCCGACAGCACGACAGCGACACCGACACCGCCGCGCGGGACAGGACACCCCCCGCCACTCGCGGGACACACCACGGACACGGCGCCGACACCGACACCGAGCCCAGCACAGGCCGAGACAGCTCCCCGCACACTGACTGGCTTCCAGCCCTTGCTTTCTTCCTTTCCCGTCTCTCTCCTCCTTTGCTTCTCCTCCATTGTTTCTCCTCTTGCTTGCTTTTCTGCTTGCTTCTTGTTTGCTTGCTTTCTTCTGCATGCATACCTTTTCACTTCTTTCTCCATTTTCCTTCTTTCACTTCTTTCCTTCTTTCTGAACCTTATTTCCTTTTTCATATATCTTCATTCTTTCTCTCTGTTCCTTTATGATTCCTTTATTTTTTTTTCATTCGATTTCTTCTTCCTTTTTTATTCCTGTGTTACTTCGTTTTTTTTTCATTTATTTCCTTTCAGTCTTCCTTTCAGTCTGGAGCGGCGTGTGCGCTCCACACGCTGGCTCCCTGCACATCGACCGGCTGCCAGCCCTGCATTCATCACGCCAACGGAGGCTAGTTCTTGATTCTTTTCTTGCTTGCTTGTTTCCTTCCTTTCTTTCTCGTCTCTCTCCTCCTTTGCTTCTCCTCCATTCTCTCTCTTGCTTGCTTTCCTGCTTGCCTAATTTCTTCTGAACATCTTCTTTTCTTCTTTCATCATTATCCATCTTTCACTTCTTTCCTCTTTCCGTCTTTGCTTCCTTGCTTAACTCCTTTCCGTATTTTCCTAAATTTGATTCCTAAATTAAATCCTTTAATTTCTTTCATTTCTTTCATTTCTTTCTTGCTTCCTTTCCTTCCTTCTATCTCTTTCCTCTTTTGTTTCTCTTCCACTCTCAGTCTTATTTGCTTCTTGCTTGCCTACATTCTTCTCGATATCTTCCTTCCTTCTGTCATGCTTTCTCTCATGTTCTTTCTTCACTCGTTCTCTACATCTCTTCCAGTTCCTTCATTCTTTCAGTGACGTCCTTCCTTTTTACTTGATTCATCCTTTCAGTTCCTTCTTTCCTTTTCTCTTACTTCTTTCAGTCATCCTACAGTATCTTTATGCCTCCTTTCTTTCCTTCACTCCTTCAATCCATCTGCTTCTCTTCCTCTCCTCTCCTCTTTACTTTTCCCTTTTTTTTTTTTTCATTCTCAAAATGCTTTCCAAATTCCTTCACCACTCTTCCAATCAAGATAAGACTTGCTCTAACGCAAGACCTCTTCTTCCTCTTCCTCACCGCCTTCCATTCTGCTCTGTACAGCATCCTTAGCACTCAGCAGGATCATGTCCCCCCAGGAATTTCTCTCATGAGCCACTGCACACCAGAATACCTGGATGCCCACTGCAAACAAGCACCAAGACCTCCATACAGCTCAGGTAAGTCTTTCACTCATTTTGTTATTATTTTTTTAACAGCAAAAAATACATACATCTGTCTCTCAAAAACATATTTTGCATATGAATGACTTACCAAGGCTCTGCAGAGCCTCACCTTCTCCCACCACTGCCAGGATCTTCCCCCCTGCACAAATGGCACTCTTTATGTTTTGCACTGGCTCAGCAATCTCTGATGGAAATGGAGAAAGCTGACCTGATAGACTGCATTTACAACAGCTTCTGCTGGAGCAGCCACTCCTCCTGCTCAGGAACACAGGAGTCAAAGGCCATCTGACAGACTGCTGTAAAACCAGGCCTGTGGTACAGAACAGTGAGATGAAGGAAAACCAAGTGGGCAAACAAAAACTAAACTCTACACAGCACCTGGGTAGGCCATGGAACACTGGGCCAGGGATTGACACAAATAACTTTCCTTGGAGACAGAGAGACCTTCACAGGATGAGGCCCTGATCAGCCTCATCTAATTGCAGTGTTCATCCTGCTCTCAGCAAGGGAACCACGGATGTCCACGTGTCACCTTCAGCACAAGGTACCTTAAGGTCCTCGTCATTCACTTCCACTGTAAAAAGGGAGGTCATCCCAGGAAAACACCACCTTCCAACAAGTTGCAAGCAAACACAAGGCAAGATCGCCCTGCTCCACATCACCCCGGGAACATTCAAAATGGCCCGGTCCTACTCAGCACCACTGACATGTTCACCTCCACCAGATTCCACACTTGCTCACCACAACCCAAGGCTGACTCCAGCTTTTGCAGAACCTTCCCATCAATGAAAGCACCACAAAGAAACATACAAACAGAATCACATAGACACTGTCTCCAGCACACCCTCTGCAGCTGACCCTTCCACTTTTCTGTGCTTCAGCAATCTCAGATGCAAACATTACAGGGGGATAAGGAACTGTATTCCTAAAGGTGATGGTGTGACAGCCCAAAAGGCAAAGGGTGCTCATTTCATTTTGTGAAAGGACACCCCAGATGTTGACAAGCAAAGCACTCTTATGGATAACATCAACTCTATGCATGTTTGTATTACATCTTTCAATGAAAAGTTCTGGGGCTTTTCAAGAGGTGGTTGTGATTACCAATGTTGAAAGCACGTGAAATCAGGACACCGTATGTCAAACCATTTCTCTGCTTAGGAACTATAGGCCATAATCAGGCAAAGACGAGAGCACAACTGTTACATGTGCCTCTGTCGAATGCATTTCTGAGCAATGTGTCAACATCACAACACCAGCAGCTCTACAGTTTCAGGCATCTTTCTGGAACCACACATACCATGAAGATTTCACAAGGTTCCCACCCAAAAAAAACCAAACAACCAAACAACAACAACAAAGACATTTTCATTTGAAAGGTTTTCAAGGGCACACTGAATGACAAAGAATAGTGCTTGCAGGATCACCATCACCACACTTCATGTCTTGCACTCCTTCAGCAATCTCAGGTATAAATGATGCACAACAAAATAAATCAGCATTTGTTGACCTCATGTCATGACAGATCAAAGCAAAATCGGTATTGGTTTTATTCTGTCAGAGAAAACCTCAGATACTGAACAACTAGCCTCAGCAAGTTGTTCCAAACCAGGAGCTGAGGACCTCCTAGATGCATGCCAACAGAGACGTGAAAATTAAAAAAGAAAAAATACTACTAATAAGGGGATTACACATAAGGGGATTGTAAGTCCATAAAACCAACAGCGGTAGCATATAAGAAGAACGAGTTGAACAAACACCAACGGTGCTCGCCTATCTCATGTTTCTTTACAAGGCCTGTGTGTGAAGGAGCAAGACTCCAACATCACTGTATCATGAGCATCGGACAAGCCTCCAACTGCACCCATTTGCAATGACCATGAGCTGAGCACAAGGAAACAATCACGCCACATTTACCAGCACTCCAAGGACACAAGACAGGCCAGTCACCAGAGAATGCATACAACTGGCACAGATCCTCTGAAGCCATCCTCAAACAAAACACCTTGGCTCGTGCATCAAACCAGTTTCTTTCTTCTCCTGACTTCTGGCTGTGCTCTTCTACCTCTCTATTGCAAAGCACGCTAATGGCATACTCATAGAGGGAAAAAGTATAACATGGTTTCAGATGCATCTTCCCCTTTACAAACTACTTTCTGGTGGTAAAGAGAGTGAAAAAGTCGATGTATCTTCAAAGAGCATAGAAAAAGATGGGGGACACAAGAATGGCATGCAGAGAGCAGCGAAATGGTGATCACAAGCAACTACAACTCTACACAGAATCCATGCAACAGCAGGATAGCGAGGGAGTCAAAATGCCTTCCTCTGACATACTCTGACCTGCACAAGAAAAGGCCCTCTACAATTTCACCTAACACAATTCCAGCCCTCCACACAAGGACAACACACCTCAAGGGATTCTCCTCAAGGGAAATCAACCACTCTACTTCCTGGCACACTTCTCTGCAATGTCTGAACTTTTTCCTTCTCGTTCAACATGTCCCAGAGGAGAAAGAGGGATTCACAACTGATGGAAGGCAATATGCCTCAAATGACATCCAGACCATTTCAACATCACGTATTGTCTCTGGTTAAGGAAGACCTTCAAATCTTGTGTCTTGGAGTCTGGGAAAGGGTCTTCCACAGCAACACTCTGGGACCATTCTCCCTCAGGCTTTGCTTTAGACACCCATGATCCACCATTCTGGGACATGTGTTCTTAACATGAACAGGAATCTCTTCTTCTACTGTTATGGCAAGCAATGCAGATCCTTTTCAACTTCATCCCTCACATCAGGGAATGGCCAGGTCCTATTCACTGCCATTGCCACATTCATCTCCACCTGATTGCATCATTTCCCTTCCCACCCCATGGATCACTCCAGCTTTCACAGACCCTTCCCATCAATCACAGCTACAAAAAATATATATATTACAATGGTACCAAATCCACAATGTCTGGCAGACTCTTTGTAATAACTTCTAAGCAGAGCTCTGTGTGAAATGCCACTTCCCTAACAAGGAATACAAATCCACAGTCAGAAAAGCCCAAAGACCCAAATGTCACCTTCATCATTTCTTCTTGACAGGACAATCAAAACACACAAAACCAAGTTCTCAACAAGAACAAAAACAAAACACTGCACAATGATAATAGCAGGCTTGTCATTCAGCTAATTAAAGGGCTTTCAGTAGTGCCTGCTTGAGAGTCACCACCAGACCGTCTCTTCCTGGCCTGCAGTCCTTCAACAGAATCAAGCAGAGCTGCTTCAAACCAGTAAGCAACGGGACTTGCAGAGATCATGACATGACAGCTCTAATGAAAATTGGCATTGATTTCATTCTCTCTGAGAAAAACTGAACAACTGGTTTCAATATGATGTCCCAAAGCAAGGGATGAGGAGATCTTGGAGACACAAATAGAGAGATGCAAATGCCGCCATCAGCTGATTACAGACAGTAGCACAATAATAGGACCAGGCATACATGGACACAACTAGAACAAGTTGAACAGACACAAATGGTGCTCACCGGCCCCCTGTCACATTTGTAACAGTTTGTAAGAGGAATAAGACACCAATACTGAAGTACCATAGGTATCAGACATGAGAATGATTTTCCACCATCACGCATGGAGAGAAGATTTCACAGCAGACCCTGTACAGCATGAGAGGTCCACAGAAAGGCCCTGTCCTGGCAGCAGGAGCAGGAATCCAAGCACACCAGCGCTTGCCAGGACCCACGCTGGGGCACAGATGCTGGCCACTGCGCTGTCGGCACTCGCAGCTCAAGCACCTGATGAGCACTGAGCAGCCGTGGGTCCAGGGGCTGCACCTGGCTGCCACAACCGCTTCTGAGGGGGCAGCCTGGAGTCAGATCTTCTGAAATTGTCCTTGAACAAAATGCCTTGGATGATGCAGAAAAACAGCTCTCTGTTTCTTGCCCTGATCTCCTGGTGTACTTTTCTACCTCCGTATTCCAAAGCACCCAAAAGGCATACTCATAAAAGGGGAAGTATAACATGCTTCATACTGCATCATGGCTTTCCAAAACAATCTACTGCTGAAAAAACATTGTACATTTTCAAGGGGCATAGAATACACTTCATCTTTTACACTTGTTCTATTAACAACCCTTTGTGAGAAATAGTAAGACACCAACAGCATGGTGTCAACAGCATCAGCCACTACAACTAAGCAACATCACAAATGGAGAGCAGACTTCAGAGCTGAACCCTGCCACAGACAGCATCTTTCACAAAACACCAGGAGAAAAGTGTCCAGGTGTTAAATCTACACAAGAGGAAAATTAACTTCACCACCTGATTACAGTCAATACCCCAAAATAGCACCAGGCATACATGGCCACAAGTAGAATAAGTTAAACAGGCACCAACAGTGTTCACCTGCCCCACATCCCATTTCTAAAAGTGTGTGTGAAGGTGCTAGGCACCAATATCATGGTATCATCAGCATCTGACAGTACAATGACTTTCCAGCATCACGCATGAAGTGAAGACATCAAATCTGACCCCTCGACAACATCTTGACCAAAAAACACAACAACAAAAAAAATTCACCAGCAAGTGTTCAGGTGTTCCAACAACACCAGAGGTTTCAAGAAGAGCCCTGTCCCAACAGCAGGAGCAGGGCTCCAAGCACAACAGCCGTTGGCAGGACCTGCGCTGGGCCCCAGACTCATGTCCTACTGCTGTTCGCACTAGCAGCTCGAGCATCTGACAAACACTAAGACACCATGGACCCGGGGACTGCGCCCGGCTTTCACAACCAATTACAAGGGGGCGGCCAGGAGATGGGGTGGAGAAGGAAAGGGAGGAGAAGAGGGCAAGATGAAAGAGCAAGGACACAGGCAATGAAGAAGAAGAAGATGAGGGTGAGGAAGAGGGCAAGATTAAAGAGCTTCAGAATAAGGCCAGGTCCCATTCAGTGCCATTGCCACATTCACCTCCGCCAGGTGACACACGTTCTCTTCCCAACACAATGCTCACTCCAACTTTCACAGACCCTTCCCAGCAATGACAGATCTGAAACCTGCAAAAACCTGCCAATGGTCCCAAATGCACAGGGACTATCTTGCAGATTCACTTGCAGATTCACTAAAAGATCATCAAACAGGCCAGTGTGCCTCTTTCAAAAAGAGATGTAATGACAGCTAACGTCAATGCGTATTGACTTCATTCTGAGAGATGACAACCCTGTTGGTGAAGGAGTGAGACACAAAATTCATGGCATCGGTGTCAGACAGTACAAGAGCTTTGCAGCATCCTGCATGGATAGAGGACTTCACAGCATCACTAATCCGAAAACATGAGGCCAAGACTGTCCTGCTTTTCCAGCTACACAAGGTGTTTCCTAAATGGCCCTGAAGAAAACAACGTAACAACAGTAGGCCCAGCAGTCAGCTCCTTAAAGGGCTTTCAATAGTGCCTGCTGCATAGTCACAACCAGACCATGTCTTCCTGGAGTGCAGTCCTTACTCAGAAATAGTAACATTCAGAAATGTTACACACCAGTAACCAACAGGATTGGCAGAGACCATGTTGTGACGAAAATCCTTGTAAAATTACTTCCACATCCACATCGTTTCAATGACCTACGTACCGTGAAATGCCATCGGAAAACAAAACACAAGAACTGGTAAAGAAAAAAATAAAAAAACAGGGGCAACCTACCGTGCCCGAAGAGTACGGGGAGAGCGAAGGTCCCTTCTCGGCAGAAGCGTTTTCTGCCGCGGGGCCGGGCGGCGGCGGGCAGTTGGGGCTGAAAACCATCAGGTCGCTCTTGCCCGCGCCGTCCGCCACGCACAGGCTCCGGCTCTGGCGCTGCGAGTACGACCAGCTGCCCACCTCGCTGGCGCACACCAGCGTGGCCGGCCCGGGCCCCGCCAGCACGGCCGCCCGCGGCGCCCAGCGCGACGCCCCGTACAGCACCACCGCCAGCAGGAACAGGCTCGACACCGCGCAGATGGCCACCACCAGCCACACGTTCGTCGCCGCCGCCGCCGCCGCCGCCGCGCCGCCCTCCGCGCCCGCCGCCGGCCGCACACCCGCCCCCGACGACGACGCCCCCCGCCGCCGCCGCCGACAGCGCCGCCTCGGCGCCCTCCACCAGCGACACGCTCAGCGTGGCCGTGGCCGAGCGCGACGGCTCCCCGTGGTCCCGCACCACGATCAGCAGCCTCTGCCGCGGGCCGTCCGCCTCCTCCAGCGCCCGCGCCGTGCTCACCTCGCCGCTGTACAGCCCCACGCGGAACGGGCCCTTGCCCCGCGGCTCCCACAGCTCGTAGCGCAGCCACGCGTTGTAGCCCGAGTCCGCGTCCACCGCGCGGATCTTCGCCACCACCTGCCCCGCCGGCGCCCCCCACGCCGCCCACGCCCACAGCGACCCCGGCGCCGACGCCGACGCCGACGCCTCGCCCGCAGCCCAGGGCCCCGGCCCGCCGCCGGCAGGCGGCAGCAGCGCCGGCGCGTTGTCGTTCTCGTCCACCACGAACAGCTGCACCGTGGCGTTGCCGCACAGCGGCGGCTCGCCCGCGTCCACCGCACGCACCTCGAACTGCAGCACCTGCAGCTCCTCGTAGTCCAGGGGCCGCAGCGCCCACAGACGCCCGCTCTCCGCGTCCACCGACACGTAGCTCGACGCCGGACGCCACCCCGACCCCGACCCCGCGCCCGACCCCGCGCCCGCGCCCGCGCCGCCCTCCGCCACCGAGTAGCTCACGCGCCCGTTGCCCGCCTCGTCCGGGTCCCGCGCCCACAGCCGCGCCAGCTCCGCGCCCGCCGCGTTGTTCTCCCGCGCCAGCACCGTGTACACGGCCTGCGCGAACGCCGGCGCGTTGTCGTTCACGTCCGACACCGGCACCCGCAGCCCGCGGCTGGCGCGCAGCGGCGGCGCCCCGCCGTCCTCCGCCCGCACCTCCACCTCGTACTCCGACACCCGCTCCCGGTCCAGCGCCTCCCGCAGCACCAGCGAGTACGAGCCCGCGAACGTCGCCACCAGCCCGAACGGCGCCGGCGGCCACACCGCGCAGCGCACCCGCCCGTTCGCCCCCGAGTCCCGGTCCGACACGCTCAGCAGCGCCACCACCGTCCCCACCGACGCGTCCTCGGGCACCGGCACCGACAGCGACGTCACCCACACCTCGGGCGCGTTGTCGTTCACGTCCAGCACCTCTAGCTCAACTCTGCAGTGCCCTGATAACGAGGGCGTCCCCTTGTCTTTCGCCTCAATGCTAAAGTCAAATACACTGACTTCCTCAAAGTCCAGGGCACCGACGAGGCGGATCTCGCCCGTCTGCGGATTAACCGAAATCAGATCTCTTCCACTCGGGGAATAAAGTTGCTTGCGCTGTAGATCACTTCACTGTTAATTCCTTCGTCCGGGTCCGTGGCGCCGACTCGGGCCACCAGCATACCCTCCGCTGCGTTCTCCCGCACCTGCACTTTATAGACCGACTGGTTGAACTGGGGTGGGTTGTCGTTTGCATCCAGCACCGACACCAACAGCTCCACCGTGCCCGTCAGTGCCGGCCTGCCCCCGTCAATCGCCGTCAGCACCAGACGGTGCTCGGCCAACGACTCGCGGTCCAGAGATTTCTTTAATACAAGATAAGGTATGATATTCCGTTCATTCTCTTTTCCTATCTCCAGAGCGAAGTGCTCGCTGGGGCTGAGGGTATAGGAGAGCTGCGCGTTGGCTCCGATATCCGCATCCGACGCGCCCTCCAGCGGGAAACGGGATCCCGGCAACGTCGTAAATTCCGCGATGCTGAGGTTTTTGGTGGCGGCGGGGAAGAGCGGCGCATTGTCGTTGATGTCGGTGACCTCCACCTCCACGTGGAAGACGCGCAGCGGCCGCTCCAGCAGCACCTCCAGGCGCAGGGCGCAGGGCGCGCTCTTCCCGCACAGCTCCTCCCGGTCCAGCCGCGAGCTCACCACCAGCGCCCCGCTCGCCCCGCTCACCTCCACGCTCGCCCGCCGGCCCTGCGCCACCAGCCGCAGCCGCCGCGCCTCCGCCTCGCCCGCCTCCAGGCCCAGGTCCTGCGCCAGCCGCCCCACCACCGTGCCGCCCTTGGCTTCCTCCGGCACCGAGTAGCGCACCTGCCCGCCGCCCAGCGCCCAGGCCGCCTGCAGCACCAGCACCCGCACCACGGCCCGCACGCACACCACCATGGCCGCCGCCGCCGCCCGCGCCCCGCACGGCTCCCAACGCCGCCGCCGCCGCTCTCCTGCCCGCCCCGCGCCGCTCCCCCCGCGCGCACAGCCGCCCTTCCCGCCGCCCCGGGGCGGAGCCGCCCTCCCGCCGCTCCCGCGCCGTTCCTGAGCCTGCAGCGACACCGTGTGCTCCGACGCCTCACTCGCGCCCGCCGCCGACAGCACGACAGCGACACCGACACCGCCGCGCGGGACAGGACAGCCCCGCCACTCGCGGGACACACCACGGACACGGCGCCGACACCCCACCCCAGCACAGCCCGAGACAGCTCCCCGCACACTGACTGGCTTCCAGCCCTTGCTTGCTTCCTTTCTGTCTCTCTCCTCCTTTGCTTCTCCTCCATTGTTTCTCCTCTTGCTTGCTTTTCTGCTTGCTTCTTGCTTGCATGCTTTCTTCTGCATGCATACCTTTTCACTTCTTTCTCCATTTTCCTTTTTCACTTCTTTCCTTCTCACACTTTGTTCCTTCTTTCACTTCTTTCCTTCTTTCTGAACCTTATTTCCTTTTTCATATATCTTCATTCTTTCTCTCTGTTCCTTTATGATTCCTTTATTTTTATTTTTTCATTCGAATTCTTCTTCCTTTTTTATTCCTGTGTTACTTCGTTTTTTTTCATTATTTCCTTTCAGTGTTTCTTTCAGTCTGGAGTGGCGTGTGCTCTCCACACGCTGGCTCCCTGCACATCAACCGGCTGCCAGCCCTGCATTCATCACGCCAATGGATGCTCCCCCTTGATTCTTTTCTTGCTTGCTTGCTTCCTTCCTTGCTTTCCAGTCTCTCTCCTCCTTTGCTTCTCCTCCATTCTCTCTCTTGTTTGCTTTCCTGCTTGCCTAATTTCTTCTGAACATCTTCTTTTCTTCTTTCATCATTATCCATCTTTCACTTCTTTCCTCTTTCCATCTTTGCTTCCTTGCTTCCCTCCTGTATTGGGTCTGTGGTTTTACCACACCTCCTTTCCGTATTTTCCTAAATTTGATTCCTAAATGAAATCCTTTCATTTCTTTCATTTCTTTCTTGCTTCCTTTCCTTCCTTCTATCTCTTTCCTCTTTTGTTTTCTCTTCCCTTCTCAGTCTTGGTTGCTTCTTGCTTGCCTACATTCTTCTCAATGTCTACCTCCTTCTGTCATGCTTTCTCTCATGTTCTTTCTTCACTCGTTCTCTACCTCTCTTCCAGTTCCTTTGTTCTATCAGTGACGTCCTTCCTTTTTACTTGATTCATCCTTTCAGTTCCTTCTTTCCTTTTCTCTTACTTCTTTCAGTCATCCTACAGTATCTTCATTCTTCCTTTCTTTCCTTCACTCCTTCAATCCATCTGCTTCTTTTCCTCTCCTCTCCTCTTTACTTTTCCTTTTTTTTTTCTTCCATTCTCGAAAGTGCTTTCCAAATGCCTACACACACTTCCAATCAAGATAGACTTGCTCTAACGCAAGACCTCTTCTTCCTCTTCCTCACTGCCTTCCATTCTGCTATGTACAGCATCCCTTAGCACTCAAGATGGCCATGTCCCCCCAAGGAATTTCTCTGATGAGCCACTGCACACCAGAATACCTGGATGCCCACTGCAAACAGGCACCAAGACCTCCATACAGCTCAGGTAAGTCTTTCACTCATTTTATTATTTTTTTTTTAACAGCAAAAAATACATCCATCTGTCTCTCAAAAACATATTTTGCATATGAACAACATACCAAGGCTCTGCAGAGCCTCACCTTCTCCCACCACTACCAGGATCTTCCCCCCTGCACAAACGGCACTCTTTATGTTTTGCACTGGCTCAGCAATCTCTGATGGAAATGGAGAAAGCTGACCTGATAGACTGCATTTACAACAGCTTCTGCTGGAGCAGCCACTCCTCATGCTCAGGAACACAGGAGTCAAAGGCCATCTGACAGACTGCTGTAAAACCAGGCCTGTGGTACAGAACAGTGAGATGAAGGAAAACCAAGTGGGCAAACAAAAAACTAAACTCTACACAGCACCTGGGTAGGCCATGGAACACTGGGCCAGGGATTGACACAAATAACTTTCCTTGGAGACAGAGAGACCTTCACAGGATGAGGCCCTGATCAGCCTCATCTAATTGCAGTGTTCATCCTGCTCTCAGCAAGGGATGTCCACGTGTCACCTTCAGCACAAGGTACCTTATGGTCCTCGTCATTCACTTCCATTGTAAAAAGGGAGGTCATCCCAGGAAAACACCACCTTCCAACAAGTTGCAAGCAAACACAAGGCAAGATCGCCCTGCTCCACATCACCCCGGGAACATTCAAAATGGCCCGGTCCTACTCAGCACCACTGACATGTTCACCTCCACCAGATTCCACAATTGCTCACCACAACCCAAGGCTGACTCCAGCTTTTGCAGAACCTTCCCATCAATGAAAGCACCACAAAGAAACATACAAACAGAATCACATAGACACTGTCTCCAGCACACCCTCTGCAGCTGACCCTTCCACTTTTCTGTGCCATCAGCAATCTCAGATGCAAACATTACAGGGGGATAAGGAACTGTATTCCTAAAGGTGATGGTGTGACAGCCCGAAAGGCAAAGGGTGCTCATTTTCATTTTGTGAAAGGACACCCCAGATGTTGACAAGCAAAGCACTCTTATGGATAACATCAACTCTATGCATGTTTGTATTACATCTTTCAATGAAAAGTTATGGGGCTTTTCAAGAGGTGGTTGTGATTACCAATGTTGAAAGCACGTGAAATCAGGACACCGTATGTCAAACCATTTCTCTGCTTAGGAACTATAGGACATAATCAGGCAAAGACGAGAGCACAACTGTTACATGTGCCTCTGTCGAATGCATTTCTGAGCAATGTGTCAACATCACAACACCAGCAGCTCTACAGTTTCAGGCATCTTTCTGGAACCACACATACCATGAAGATTTCACAAGGTTCCCACCAAAAAAAAAAAAAACCAACCAAAAAAAAAAAAAAAAAAAAAAACCAAACAAACAACCAAAGACATTTTCATTTGAAAGGTTTCAAGGGCACACTGTATGACAAAGAATAGTGCCTGCAGGATCACCATCACCATCCGTCATGTCTCGCAGTCCTTCAGCAATCTCAGGTGTAAATGATGCACAACAAAATAAATAAGCATTTGTTGACCTCATGTCATGACAGATTGAAGCAAAATCGGTATTGGTTTTATTCTGTCAGAGAAAACCTCAGATACTGAACAACTAGCCTCAGTAAGATGTTCCAAACCAGGAGCTGAGGACCTCCTAGATACATGCCAACAGAGACGTGAAAATTAAAAAGAAAAAATACTAATAATAAGGGGATTACACATAAGGGGATTGTAAGTCCATAAAACCAACAGCAGTAGCATACAAGAAGAACGAGTTGAACACCAACGGTGCTCGCCTATCTCATGTTTCTTTACAAGGCCTGTGTGTGAAGGAGCAAGACTCCAACATCACTGTATCATGAGCATCAGACAAGCCTCCAACTGCACCCATTTGCAATGACCATGAGCTGGGCACAAGGAAACAATCACGCCACATTTACCAGCACTCCAAGGACACAAGACAGGCCAGTCACCAGAGAATGCATACAACTGGCACAGATCCTCTGAAGCCATCCTCAAACAAAACACCTTGGCTCGTGCATCAAACCAGTTTCTTTCTTCTCCTGACTTCTGGCTGTGCTCTTCTACCTCTCTATTGCAAAGCACGCTAGTGGCATACTCATAGACGGAAAAAGTATAACACGGTTTCAGATACATCTTCTCTTTCAAAATTAATTTCTGGTGGTAAAGAGAGTGAAAAAGTCGATGTATCTTCAAAGAGCATAGAAAAAGATGGGGGACACAAGAATGGCATGCAGAGAGCAGCGAAATGGTGATCACAAGCAACTACAACTCTACACAGTAATCCATGCAACAGCAGGATAGCAAGGGAGTCAAAATGCCTTCCTCCGACATACTCTGACCTGCACAAGAAAGGCCCTCTACAATTTCACCTAACACAATTCCAGCCCTCCACACAAGGACAACACACCTCAAGGGATTCTCCTCAAGGGAAATCACCCACTCTACTTCCTGGCCCACTTCTCTGCAATGTCTGAACTTTTTCCTTCTCGTTCAACATGTCCCAGAGGAGAAAGAGGGATTCACAACTGATGGAAGGCAATATGCCTCAAATGACATCCAGACCATTTCAACATCACGTATTGTCTCTGGTTAAGGAAGACCTTCAAATCTTGTGTCTTGGAGTCTGGGAAAGGGTCTTCCACAGCAACACTCTGGGACCATTCTCCCTCAGGCTTTGCTTTAGACACCCATGATCCACCATTCTGGGACATGTGTTCTTAACATGAACAGGAATCTCTTCTACTTACTGTTATGGCAAGCAACGCAGATCCTTTTCAACTTCATCCCTCACATCAGGGAATGGCCAGGTCCTATTCACTGCCATTGCCACATTCATCTCCACCTGATTACATCATTTCCCTTCCCACCCCATGGATCACTCCAGCTTTCACAGACCCTTCCCATCAATCACAGCTACAAAAAAATATATATATTACAATGGTACCAAATCCACAATGTCTGGCAGACTCTTTATGATAACTTCTAAGCAGGGCTCTGTGTGAAATGCCACTTCCCTAACAAGGAATACAAATCCACAGTCAGAAAAGCCCCAAGACCCAAATGTCACCTTCATCATTTCTTCTTGACAGGACAATCAAAATACACCAAAACCAAGTTCTCAACAAGAACAAAAACAAAACACTGCACAATGATAATAGCAGGCTTGTCATTGAGCTACATAAAGGGCTTTCAGTAGTGTCTGCTTGAGAGTCACCACCAGACCGACTCTTCCTGGCCTGCAGTCCTTCAACAGTATCAAGCAGAGCTGCTCCAAACCAGTAACCAACGGGACTTGCAGAGACCATGACATGACAGCTCTAATGAAAATTGGCATTGATTTCATTCTCTCTGAGAAAAACTGAACAACTGGTTTCAATATGATGTCCCAAAGCAAGAGATGAGGAGATCTTGGAGACACAAATAGAGAGATGCAAATGCCGTCATCAGCTGATTACAGACAGTAGCACAATAATAGGAACAGGCATACATGGACACAACTAGAACAAGTTGAACAGACACAAACGGTGGTCACTGGCCCCCATGCCACATTTGCTACAGTTTCAAGAGGAATAAGACACCAATATTGAGGTACAATAGGTATCAGACATGAGAATGACTTTCCACCATC